AAGTGGTGCTGGCTCCTACCCTGGGGGTCTTTAAGAGGAAGCTAGATGTACACCTTGCTGGGGTCGTTTGACCCCAGTACCCTTTCCTGCCATGTCAGGGGGTCGGACTTGATGATCTGCTCAGGTCCCTTCCGACCCATGAAACTATGACTATAGCAGCTATCACTGGTAGGCATGTGGGCCCAGAACTACATCAGAAAGATGTCCTAAATATCTGGGATAAAAACTTACTAAACTGCAGAGCCAAAATCAGATATGACATGGCAGATATTGATGCCAGTTTTAAAGAAATGTGACCACTGATCTGGAGGAGCAACGAGGCTGCGTCAGCAAGATGTTCAGTTGGCTCCAGGAAAATGGTGACAACAATCCCCCTACGCTGTTGGTCTATTGATTTCCTTAGGAAGAAGATCTGGCAGAACTGGCTTCCGAACAGTACTACGTGGACTACGGGACCGAGATGGTTCTGGAGCGACTCCTCAACTTGATCCCCTCCTACATCCCTGACAGGGAGATTACTGCTTCGAAAACCGTGGAGAAATGGGCTCAGCTCATTATAGCTGCACATAAGAAGGTAGGCAGTGGCTCTTGAGTAGAAAGAGGCTGCGAAGGGAGTATTATCTCCAAACTGGGTACATGTCAATCCTTGGGAGATGGTTCTCAGCCCTGTCCAAAGCTAAAAAAGAAAGCAGCATTCCCCACGTGGACATCAACTTAAATCAAAGCTTGTAGATATTTCTGATGCAGGTTGCCTCACAGGTGGAGGAAAGGGGCTATTTTATTGTATTCAGCAGTAGCATTGGTTTTGGAAAGGACACCTGAAAGGCCATAAGATCTTTGCTTGTTAAGGAACCTCCATCTCTGGGAATTTTCCTTCAGAACATGGGACTGTCACATCGTTACTTAAAATACAGCTGTGATTACAAGATGAAGTCCATGTGGTCACCTCTATTGTCAGGTGCTGTATAAATAGATAAGTCACCTGAATGCTTGCTGGAGTACTAAGTGGACGCTGTTGACACTGCTATGTGGAGAAAGCAGAGCAATTCTCCTATAGGCAGCCTGCCCTATTGCTTTTTCCAGAGATCCAACCAGCGGGCCACTTGATATCACATCCGCGCTGCTGGATTGTCTAGCCTTGGGAGAGGGGCAGAGAAAAAAGGAGTTCCTGCTTTGGTACCTGATCAGTTTTATCAAAGCAAAACTCACCTGGCATCAGCAGAACTGTCCCTTGTTCATACTAAGGAAGAATTGGGTGCCGTGACTCCCCTGCCTTGTCTCTCATCCATCCAAGTATGGACAAGTCCTACTGGGTCATCTAGCCCTTGCCTTACCTGCACCCAGAGCAGGCTTGGTTCCTTTGCTGTACTTTCTAGATCTTTGTCCATCTTGGCCTTAATAATTCAAGGTCTGAGGCTCCAACTGCTTTGCCTGGGCATTTCTTAAAGACCCTTGGGCTTGTTTTGATGCCAAAAGGTCTCTTGACTCCAAGGTGGTGTAAATCAGCCTAATTCCATTGACTTGTTCTTAATCTGATCTCTTCCTGGCCTCACGTGAATATGTGTTTTCAATGCTGGCTGTGGTTTGCTTCTCCTATAGGGAATTTATACTCAGAAGAGAGCAGACCCCAAAAAAGTCAAGGAGGAGGTGGTGGATTTTGCACGTTTCAAGTGGCCTTTGCTGTTTTCTAGATTCTATGAAGCTTTCAAATTTTCAGGTAACCCGACAAAACACAGGTTGCCATAGGGTGAGCATCACTGAAAAAAAAAGGCGAATCATGGGAGCTAGAAATGAGTGATCTATCCATGCTTCTGGAGACACAGCTTTGGGTCCTGCTGGCCCTGCTGTAGCCAGCTATAAATGTCCCAAGCTACGAAGGTCTGAGCAGTTCCCACAATGAAAAAGACCAATGGAAAATGGGTTGGAAGGGACCTCATGAGGCCATGTAGTCCATTCCCCTGCAGGAATATCCCTGAACATTGCCTTTTGCAACTTGATTTGAGATCTGTAAGACCTAAAAGCTGTGGCAGGCTGACAGCTGTAAGTGTCTTATTGCCCACATTGCTTTCAACCCAGGGCCAAGTCTGCCCAAGAATGATGTGATTGTAGCTGTCAACTGGACCGGGGTGTACTTTGTGGATGAACAAGAGCAGGTCCTCCTGGAGCTCTCCTTCCCAGAGATCACTGCCGTCTCGAGCAGCAAGTAAGGAGCAAACTGAGTCAGTGGGTCCCAGTGTTGGTTTAAGAGTGGGTTGATACAGATTGCTGTCATTTTGACTTTCCAGAAGCTTTCCTCAGGTCAGGATGCCAGGGTAGAGTGAATCAGTGGGTGGCAATGTATCTCCTGCTTCCTCTACTGCATTGCCACAAATATGCCAGTGGATCAGTAGGGCCGGCTTAGAGCGTCCTGCTGCCCAGCACATGGGCCCTACCTTTCTGCACCTGCAATCTTCAGGGACATTAATACCACTAAGAAACCTGATGCTTCCCCTTATGCAGCCCATGAAAAAAGGATAACATTTCTTTACTTGGTGCTTAGAGTCAGATGCCTGAATTCATATTTAGGCACGTTTTGAAACCAACGGAAGCAGAAGCACCTGCTTTTATTTGGCTGAAGAACTTAAGGCAGCCGTTGTGGGAACTCCTTAGCTTTTATTAGGGCAATGATTCTCAACCAGGGTGCCGGGGCACCCAGGGGTGCCACAAGATCCTTTGACGAGAGCCCCGAAGTGTGAGAAGATAATCAGATCATTTCAGGCTCAGGCTCTTCCCTGACTGCCTGTTCCCCTGCCCCCGCTGCCTGGTAGAGAAGTAAGCACTATGATAAATGTTAGTTTTTGAAACAGGGTGCTGCTCAATTCACAAAAGTTATGGAGGGATGACTTGAGTCTACGAAGGTTAAGAACCACTGTATTAGTGAGTGGGGTAGTTTCTGTGCCAACCGTTAAAAGCAATGATGATAAAAGAACATGTGGTTCTCCATAAAGCAATAAATGACTGCCCTACACAGCAGACGTTCTTCCATTACTCATAAATGATTGAATCATAGAAAATGAGAGTTGGAAGAGACCTCAAGAGGTCATCTAGTCCAAACCCCTGCTCAATGCAGGACCATCCCCAACTATATTATCCCAGCTAAGGCTTTGTTGATCCGGGTCTTAAAAACCTCCAAAGAGTTTCCACAACCTCTCTGGGGAGCCTGTTCTAGTGCTTTACCATGCTCCTCATATGAAAGTTTTTCCTAATATCTAACCTAAACTTCCTTTGCTGTAACTTGAGATCATTGCTCCTTGTTCTGAGAACTGCCACCACTGAGGACAGTTGTCCACCTGAATAATTATTAAAGCCCAAACACTGCCTGAGGATGCACATGCTTCCACTGACCAAGCAGGGGCAGCACGGATATATCCAAGGGTAGCATGTGCACTGTCTTTTCCTTAAGGGACTCTCAGAACTGGCTAAGTCCTCTTGAGGCAGGGTATGCTTGGGAAACCTCTACTACAGAGTCAGAACAGGGTGTGACAAGCATGCCCTTGGATAACTTGGAGACCAGCATTTAGGCTGAACCTGAATTTAAATTCATAGCAATTTCTGAAATAAAACAGAACCCTAGCCATAGGGTACTTCCTTATTGCTACTCTCTACCGCTGTGCTTTGGATATTACAGGAGCTTTTGCAATGCTCATGTTAGCCTGGAGTGGGTCAGGCCCTGGCATGCTCTTGTTTCTATTATAGATGAGTCTAGGGACAAATGTGTCCAATGAACAGAAGTATTTTGCCACCACCTGAGCACTACCAATGGGTCAGATCCTATTTCACCTGCTAAGCACCTGAAGTGTGATCCTATTCCACCCTGCTCGGGTGTGTCTAATAGGCCCGTGCAAAGCGGCTAGTATTCACTTCGGATTCGGCTGATTCGGGGGACAGTGATTCGATTCGGTGATTCAAACCACTGTCCCGAATTGATTCAGAGATTCAGCTGCTGCCGAATCTCTGAATCACGCAGGCCCCATCCCCCACCCACCCCAGCTCCCGGCTCTTTGGAAAAAAAAGGCCTGACTCACCAGCTGTTGCCAGGCGGAGGGGCGATCCCCACTGCCTGTCACTGCCCCACATCACGTGGGGATCTCTGCCACAAGCCCCCTGACCCCTGCCTGCTGTCCCAACCCCCCCCCCCCCATGGCTGCCCTGCCTGCCCCAGCTCCGGCCCTTATAAAACAAAAAACAAAACCTGGGATCACCGGCTGATGCCCAGCAGGGGATGATCCCTGCTGCCCTGCGCTGCGTGGGGGGCTCTGCCACGGCCCCCCAGAAGCCCTGAGGCTGCTGCAGCAGCCAGGGAGTGCAGTGTTTTTTGGCTGTTTTTTTTAAGGGCCGGGAGCTGGGCCAGGCAGGGCAGCCATGGCGGGGACTGAGAGAGTGGGCAGGGGTCGGGGGACTCATGGCAGAGACCCCGACGTGGTGTGGGCAATGGGGGCCAGCAGGGATCACCCCCTCACCCGGCTGCACCCAGTGAGTGGGGGCTTTTTTTTAACCAACCAGGGGGCGGAGCAGCCATGGTGGGGGCTGGGAGAGTGGGCAGGGTTTGTGGGGTGCTCAGAGGGACTAGGGGAGCAGGCAGGGGATAGGGCCTGGCAGGGGTCCCTGCATGGTTCCCTCCCCCCCTCCACCAGCCCCCACTTCTCCCACCCCTGGGTCCAGCTCCGTGCTGCAGCCAGCGGAGACTGCCTGAATCACTGAAGCTCTCTGAATCATTTCCAAATCAATTCAGACCTTTTAATTGGTCCCCTGATTCGATTTGGATTTGTAGATTTGGCCACCAAATCGGGCCAAATCTCCTCCGAATCATAGATTCATAGATTCATATGAATCTATGAATCAGTCAGAACCCGAAGCTTCGCATAGCCCTAGTGTCTAAACATGGATTTAATGTGGGAGCAGTTCACTCACGAGTAAACTACTCACGAGTAAACTCTCCCAGGCAGGTGTCTACACGTGCAAGGAAGCCGGAGTAGATTTGTTGCTGCAGCAAACTGCTTACAATTCCCGGGGCCCTGCAATGGGCCCCTGCTCCCCCTGGGTGCTAAACCAGGGGCTGACAGGGAGTACGGGGCCAGGAGACAGCTGCCTCCTGGTTGGGGCTGGGACATTACAACCTGTCCCCAGGGATTGCCTGCTGCCAAGGCAGGGACAATGTCCACCTGTCCTTGCAGTAGGGAGCTCCTGGCCTCAGCTCCCCAGTCAGGGGCAGGGGACTTGGAAAGAGCTGCAGGGTAGAGGGTCACTGCTAGCTGCCCCACTGGTGGATTGGGGAAGGGGTCTGGGACCTATCTCACCCCTGTCTCTCCAAGCCATATGCCTCGATCACCCAGTTCCCAGCCCACTTGGGCTCCAGTGGCAGAGACCACCTCAGCAACAAGCAGCTTCCAGGGGCAGGGAGCAATCTTCCACCCCCTGGTGGCCAGCTGATCAGGAGCAGATTTGCTCCCAATCGGGCATTTACATGAGCACTGCTGCACAGTAAGTAATTGCAAGTAAATTTGCTACTTACATTTGTAGGTAGCAAATTTACTCATGATTAGAGAAGTTTACTGTGCAGTAAGCATATGCATGTGCAGACAGTCTTACTGCATAGTGAACTGTGCTATTGTTCAGTAAAACGTGTAGATGCACTCCTTGAGTTCCTGAAAAACCATTCACACAAATGGTGAATGGGTCACCTTGTCTCTCACTGATTCTTGTGACTTAGTCTTAAGGCTAAGATGATAGTGTACTACAAAAGCAGATGTGTTAATGGCTTTTCAGGAACTCAGAAGAGTGAATAGGATCACAGTGAAGTGTCTAAGCTCATATAGGCACCTAACAGATGGAATGGGACCTGGCCCATAACTTTTTATTTAGTACCAACCACTGGATTCCACGTCTGATTCTAGGTATGCTCAGCTTTTTCCCTTGTATTCAGGCAATAATTCTTTCCCCCCTCTTCTGCATCATGCCTTCTCAGCTGAAAACATCTATCCATCCAGCATGATAAATAAAAATGGCCTCTGATCTGCGGCAAGTATCAGATAAAATTATCATAGTGGTTTCCTTCAGACTGAAAGTCTGTGAATCTCTTTCAGCATAGTGATAGGCCCAGGTTTTCAAAGCAAGCCAGCTTAATTGTGTTGGCAAGTGTGCAACACTTAATTGCTTTGGGGTGGGGGTGGGCAGATCTGAGATGCTCACATGTCTGGAAGTGTTTATATACAGGGAAGCCCACGTTGACCGTGTTCATACATGACTAGATTTGCAAAGGTCCTGGCAACAGCTACAGATGCAAATTTTGCCAGGCTAGTGTTGCTGATTAGTTGGGGACCTTTGCCTCCTGATGTCTGGATGCTACACGTTTACTTAATGTGTTTCCCACACTCCCTGTTTTAGAGGGGGAAAGCTGCAAGGGCAGAGCTTCACCATGGCCACCATTAAAGGGGATGAATACACCTTCACCTCCAACAATGCAGAGGACATCCGAGACCTTGTGGTGATCTTTTTAGAAGGACTAAGAAAAAGGTCAAAATATGTGGTCACTCTCCAAGACAACCCAAATCCCGGTGAGTACGCAGACCAACCCAACGGCAAAGAACTGCGGCTGTAGGACGATTGACATTTCCAAGGGTACCATGGAGGGCCTCCTGCTTTGAACCTCAGGAGCAACATCCTTGTATAAGACATGCTCAGGAGTCTACTTAGTAGTTTGCTGAATGTATTGTCTGTCAGTTCCCACTGTCTCTAAAATGGACCCCTGGGAAGAACTGTTCAGATTCACTGTTTGGTTTCGCTTCCAAGGAAAGGGCCTGGCAAGACATTTTGTTTATCCTTCTTGCAACCCGAGCGTGGATGCCTTTCTAAAATCTGTGTCCTAGCTCAGCCATAGCGGGTAGCCTTGAGGTTACTGGGCACATCTACGCAAGATGTCTACTGAGGAGTAGACTAATTAGCTCCACAGTAAAAGGCTCATGTCTACATGTGCAGCCCTATTAGGCTGCAGGAAACGAATAAACTCAACATTAGTGTAGTACTTGGACATACGAGTATTATCCTGCTGTAGCATTTTTTACTCCACAGCAGCGCACATGTAGACACTGACATGGTTGGCTGGGACATGAGGATGCTTCAGTGTGGGGCTGCCTGCCAGCTACCCCCACACTGGAGCACCGTCATGCCCCAGCCAGCCCCTCTGCAGCATGTCAAGCCAGGTCAGAGCAGCCGTTACCTCCAGGCCCTCGCCAGACCTGGCTGCTCTGACCCAGCTCAACATTGTGCGGTCCCAGGCTCACATTCAAATGGTGCACCCGGAAACAATAAGCTCCAGCATGATATGCAGAGTTTATTGCTGCACGCTAATAGATATGCCTGCTGTGACTGAAGGGAGCCACTTGTTACAAAAGCTCATCCATCTCTGATTTAGTTAGTCTATAAGGTGCAAACCTACCCTGCCTTCTCCACCATACAAATCGGATTCACCAGTTGTCATTGTTTCTGCTGGCCTGAAAATCTACAAACCAATGCAAGATGCCCATTGGGCAGGATTCTTAAAAGTGCCCAGAGGTGTGAGGTACCTAATTCCCATAAGAAGCCAATGGGATTTGGCATCCTATCTCTCTTGGGCTCCTTTGAAAATCCCAGCCTCAATGTTTCTGTGGGTCTGTCTGCACTGCAATAGGAGGCAGGATTGTAGCACAGACAGACATAGTTTTAACTTAGCTACCAGCACTGCGAGCTTTGGCAGAGGTGGTATGAGCCCTTCAAGGACCCTGGGTGCTTAGCTGGGAAACCGCTGTTGTTGCCAACCCCATGCTGTGGTGACATGACTGACCGCCACATTGGCGTATCCCTATAACTGACCATTTGTACAGAGTATTTATATAGCAGTCTCCTCACAGCTCTTTGCAGGATAAGATATACCTATGACAGTTGCGTGGAATATGCAGCGAGGCAGACCTGTAGCCAAGCAGATTACTCCAAAGAGACTTTGAAAATAATCGTGGTCATTTCTCTTGCAGTGGGAGAAGAATCGGGATTCCTCAGCTTCCTTAAAGGAGACCTGATCGTTCTGGACCAAGACACTGGAGAGCAAGTAATGAACTCAGGATGGGCTAATGGCATCAATGAAAGGACCAAACAGAGAGGAGATTTCCCAACAGATTCTGTTTATGTTCTGCCTACTGTCACCATGCCTCCTCTGGAGATTGTGGTAAGCCCCCTTACTGAAAGACGCAGGCCTTCAGAGCCTGCTGAAGCCAAAAGGAGCCTTTCTATGGTCTTCAGAGAGCTTTGGGTCCAGCCCACCATCTCATTGATGGTGACGATGATGATGACGCTATGCCTAAGACAGCTGGCAGGTCACCGCAGGAAGAACCAGACGTCATCTGCCCGCATTGACCTATCAGCTTTTCCAGCAGCCTTCTCAGTTTGAAAACCACTTGCTTTTGACTTTGAAAAGGCATGAAGCTCTTAGATAAATAGTGAAGTCTGTTTGTTTAATGGTATAACTGACTGGGAAGTGGGTATGTGCAAGTGTGTAGGGCACCAAGGACGGTCAACAAGACCTTCTCTCTGTTGAGGTGTGGTTGAGGCTATGGGAACCTTAGACACCTATTGTGTTAATAATGAAGAAATGCCTGAGGACGAGCAATCACTCTGATATTGAGTGCAGGTGCTGATCATTCACTTGAAGCTAAAAGCTGTTGGTTTTCATTATTGGGTCATTTGCTCTTTTCATACCATGTCTGCGTCACCTCTCTAGATACATCAGCCTTCATCCACCTGAAACTCGTTGAATAATGGAGAGTCTTTGTTCACTAGGCACTTGTCACAATGACCCCTGACCAGAGGCAAGATGTCATTAGATCAGCCCAGCAGTCAATTTCGGACAGCGAAGAAAGGGTGAAGCCGTACACCTTGGAAGAGTTTTCCTACGATTATTTTAGGTGACACTTTACCACTCTCCTCTACAGAATGGGTAGCAGGCAGGAGTTCCTTCCCGAAGCAGATCAGATCCAAACCCTTCTCTTCAGAAGTGCAGGGGGAAAGCTTTAGAAATCATCTTGTGCATTGCTTTGTGTGGCTACAGCTCGTGCTTTAAGGCAGAGCTGTTCAGCTTTGGAGCGGTGGGGGGCCGCGCATTGCATGGCCCTCTCAGCACGCTGCCAGTACCAGCCCCTGTCATGCCACACGAGGCACCTCCATGCTTTGGGCTCCCTGGACCGTGCAGATTGACCCACCCTGCTGCCAGGGGTGCGGGCAGGAAACAGAACCCAGAGGAGGGATGGGGGGCCCAGAGATGCTGGCAGCAGCCATGTGAGGAGCAGCGCCCAGGTGGGAACCTGTCAGCTGCAAATTAGCCCCTCACCACCCATGTGCAGCCCACAGGCCACGAATTAGCCCAGCCTGCTTTGGGATGTTACATTCTGTATAATCTTTGCAGAACAGCAGAAGTTAGTAAGGCGTTTTCCATGTTAGGCACAGCAGGGGGATAACTGGGTGCAATTATCTGCCCTCTGTGTTCCCCTCTGGCCTTAAAATCTGTGAATTGCCTTCGCAGCATGACACTGCAGTTGGCAGGTACATTATCGTGGGGACCTTCCTCTTGGCTCCGAAGAATTAGGCAGTGGCCACCACTGGAGACAGCCTACCGCGAATTTGCTTTCCAAATCCCAGCTCACAGACAGAGCAGCCATTAGTCTAATCCAGTTTGGCAAGTCCCATGTGCAACCACGATGTGTTGACAGGAGTTGGATTTCAGACCCCACTGCCTGCTGGGCTGACCAGTATGGCTTACTTGTTTCTTCTGTCTGTCCATCTGTCCATGTGCATTTGTTGGCTACTGTCTTGGACTGTAAGCTTTCTGGGGCGGAGACTACGCTTTCATCGTGTGCTTATGCAGATGTAACCCTGGTTATAATTGATACGTGTAATAAATTGAAATCCATTTTTATTTTAGTGTAATAAAAATAACAACTGTTAGAGCTGCAGCCTGATACTCAGTTTAGGCACGTAGAGGGCTGATCCACTGACCACTTATGTTGAAGGAATAACTCCTATAAATGTCAGTGAATACCAGGAGTGCCCAGGTGTAGAGCTGGGGGCCTTATGTTGGGTGTCTGAGTTCAGAAGACAGGTGTGGACAGCTTTCCCAGGTTCAAGCCCAGCTAGTCCTGGGAGGGATCTCATCACTCATAATCCCAGCTGTTTTTTCTCTACTTTGCTGTCGCTACCAGGCCGCCTCCCAAGCACACCCTGAGCCGGGTGATGATCACCAAGAACCGAGGGAAAGACAAGCTGTGGTGCTACACCCGGGAGCCAATCAAGCAGCCCTTGCTGAAGAAAATCCAGGGCAGCGAGGAGCTGTCCCAGGAGGCCTGCATGGCATTCATTGATATCCTTCCCCAGCGAAAGAAAACAATCCACCCCATCAGGACAAACACATCGTGGGCCTGAACCATAGTCCATGAAGTCAGTGGGATGATTCACAGTGACTGCAATGAGCTGTGGGTCATGCACTGTAAGGCTTGACACAAGTCATAATAATTAGAAACAGAACCGAACCTAATCCTGGCCTCAAATGGCCCTGAACTCTAAGGGCCTGTCCAAATGCAAACAGGGATCTAGGTCCAGATTTTGCAAAGGATCTTTACCCTTATACATGCCTTGCTCAAAACCTGCATTGAAGTATTTTTGGTGTCTAACACTAAGCATCCAGATTTCACACTGGAGCCATTCAATAATAAGAACAACAATAATCCAAATGAGAGGACATTTTTGTGATTTTTTTTGTGATTTTTTTTTCCCCACACATCACAAGATAATGCATAACATTGCTACCAGCTATAGTCTGCAATGCCATATGTACTTGCATACTACAAATACTGTTCCTCTAAAAAATAGCCACCCCAAATTGTGGGGGTGCATTTTAAGCAAGGAATATGATTTCCATGCTAGAAGGGAGACATCGGACACTGAACTGGCTGCCAGGGGCTGGCACCCTCCCAGCTGCAGACAAGAGGGATGGAGCCTGCTAGTCCACGAAAATCTGGAGTTTTTACCCTGTCACAGCCACTGCCAAATTGTGGCCAAAAGCTGCTGTCAATTTAGCCATGGTTATGACAGAGGTAAGCCCCTAGCTTTTGGGTGAACAGGAAAGGGTTGCAAGTTAGTCTCTGCCCCTCCTCCATGCGGCCAAAATTTAGTCATGATTCGGGGCAGGGGGAAATTCTTTGTTCTGCCTTCCCAAAGCAGGTGCATGTCTTATTTAGTATGCAAGAAAATACAGTAGTTGCAATAAAACATCCTGGGCCAGCTCTTTAATTGGCGTAAATCCATGTGGCTTTATTGGTCACCAACATGAACTGAAGATGTGGTCCTTCATTATACTGCTTCGGTGGTGCTTTCAGGGTCAGATGAAGTAGCAGCAGCTTTTCTCAGACTATGTATTCACCCATGCCAAGTCTCTGCAGCTGGTGACACCTAAAGAGAAAAATGTGTGATTGAAAGGGTTGCTGTACTCTGTTTACCTACCACTATAATGCAGCCACCACTGGGGTGACAGGTAGGACCCCTATAATTAGGTTTTTGGCAGAGTTAGCTCCCTAAGCCTCCTCGCTTGCCTGTCCTTAACTGTTGCCATGCACCTGTGCTCAAGTATATGGGGGACTACCCATCCAAAAGAACCCGCTCAGTCAACGAGCTAACGGACCAAATATTTGAAGGCGCCTTGAAGGCTGAGCCCCTGAAGGATGAGATCTACTGCCAGGTCCTCAAGCAGCTCACGGACAACCACATTAAGTAAGCGCACGGCCCTTCCTTGCGTCCTGTTGCTGTGGGTGTTCAGGACAGAGTGTGGGATTGCGCGAGGGCGGGTGGGTCTTCAAGTCTCCCTGTCCCCTTGAAAGACTGGATGTGCACAAAGCCAAGCCCTGTTCTTATCATCAGCTCTGCCTTTCCATGCCACTTTTAACCTCCTTGCAGATGTTGGCCCCTGTGTTGCAGGGCAGGGGGTGAACAAGAAACTTCCAGTTTTCATCTCTTTCAAAAACCCCTCATGCCATTCTGCGAATTTAGAGCTGGCCTTAAAGTTGGGTGAAATCACATTGGTAGCCACTTTCTTGCCCTTTTCACTCTGCCAGAGCAATGTTAAAAGGGACATAATGTAATAGAGAAACAGGCCCTTCAGTGACTGTGTGCTCCAGAAGTGAATGTTTGATCTTCCAGTTGGGTATCTTTTCTCTTAGGTACAGTGAAGAGAAAGGCTGGGAACTGCTGTGGCTGTGTACGGGCCTTTTCCCTCCCAGTAATATTCTCCTGCCCCATGTCCAGCGGTTTCTCCAGTCCCGGAAACACCACCCTCTCGCTGGCGACTGCATCCAGAGACTGCAGAAGGCACTGAGGTATGGTACTGAAAGCAGGTTGTCAACATGTCATTTTGGGGGGTGATTTTTGAAGGCAGAGATGACAGTCAAGCGCCTGAGCCGTTGTCTTCCAGGGACCAGTCAGTTCTTAACAGCCACCGGTGTCTTTGAAAACCTCCACATTTACCTGTCTGATTCCCATGTGTGAAACAGGATGTAATGTTACCTACCATATTTCCTCACATCCTGTATGTGCCTTTTCCTGAAAAATTTCCATCACCACCCCCCATTGGGGTGCATGTCTTAAGTGGGGAAGCTGATTTTCTCCCTAGACTAGAAGCACCCCACTTTGACTCCTTCTGCTCCTGGCAGCAGCAGTGGCATTTCTAGTCAAGCAACTGAGAGAGTCAGTTGATTTAAAGGCTCATTGCTCTTCACTCCATGGGTGTTAATGATAGTCTCTCTTTTTTAATAGTCTCGATGGTCCACTAATCAAGTTAACCTTTCTTTGGGCAATTTTACTGTCTGTTACCTGCTTCTAGTCTCTCTTCTGGAGACAGCTTTTAGCTCTTTTCAAAACTGTAGATCCCCTTGTGGAAACCAGTCTACAGCAGCAGCTAGGGATTCAGCTTTTGGTTCATCAGGAAAGGGCGGGTGAGTGAGCTGATGATTAGGCTCTATCCTTAGTCTATGCAGCCGTAACTCTGGAGCAATTCTTTTTTCCTCCCTTCTGCCTTCCCCAAAATAAAGTGCGTGTCTTATTTGGAGGGATATGGTATGTGAGAAAATGCAGTACTTTCCTTTGATTAAGTATTTTGAATGAAGTTACATAATATTGTAGTGTAGTATTGGACATCATACTGTTAGAAGTTAACATTTGCCTGTCAGTGTCCAGGCAGCTGATCTGCTGCATTGCCTTCCTATCAAGATAAGTACAACAGAGAGGCTGTAGCATTGTGTTACCTTTCTGTTTGTTGAATCCACCTGTGGTCTCATCCTTTGCTTGCCCCAGCATGCTGTGGGGACTACAAGGGTATATCTGCTCTGCTCTCTGGGATGCTGTTGTCATTGTAACCCTCCTGTTTTACAGGAATGGTTCCAGGAAGTATCCCCCCCATCTGGTTGAAGTGGAGGCGATTCAACACAAAACCACGCAGATTTTCCACAAAGTTTACTTCCCTGATGACACCGATGAGGTAAGCCTGCACACCTACAGGCTTGGCAACGCCACCCTGACCAGCACTATGAATGAAAGGGACCCGGGGGTAATAACAGACCACAGGATGAACATGAACATATGCACACAGTGCAACTCCGTAGCCAGCAGGGCTAACAATACCCCGGCGTGCATCAATCGGTGCATCTCCAGCAAAACCAAGGAAGTAATTCTTCTGCTGTACTTGTCATTGGTGAGACCGCAGCTGGAGGACTGCGTCCAGTTCTGGGTGCTGCACTTTAACAAGGATATGGAAAAGCTTGAGAGGGTCCAGGGAAGGGCCACCCGTATGATCAGAGGCTTGCATAGCAAGCCCTATGAGGAAAGGCTGAGGGATCTGGGACTCTTCAGCCTGAAAAAAAGGAAGCTGAGAAGGGGCTTGGTAGCAGCTTACCACTACATCAGAAGTGTACATCAAGGGCTTGGTGAACAACTGTTCACCAGGGCACTCTTGGGGAAACCAGGAGTAATGGCCACAAACTCCTAGAAGACCGTTTCAGACTCAACATTAAGAAAAACTTCACAGTCAGGGTGTCAAGACTATGGAATAAGCTCCCTCCAGAGGTGGTGCAATCACCCACCTTGGAAAGCTTCAAGAGGAGACTGGACAGTCACCTTGCTAGGGTCACCCGACTCCATCTGTCTTTCCTGCTTGGTGAAGGGGGCTGGACCTGATGATCTTTTGAGGTCCCTTCCAGCCCCTGACAATATACGAATGGAAGGGAAACCTAAATTCATCTCAGCTTTCTCTAATGAATGCCGCACGTAGGCTGGCATCGGTTCTGGAGTGTTTCGCCTTGGAGGAGGCAGGAGTGCGCTGGGTCTGGGAGGCTTCAATGTCAAAAGGCAAGGCAATGAGTGCTGCTCAGGTCTGTGAGGGGGCCTGCAATCTGTGGGGGCATCTCCTTTCCCCCCTGCCACAAAAGACAACAGTACATTAGCATCTAAGGGATCCTGTGTGAGCCAGCATGGAGGCACTGCTAGGTTTTCCAGGAGAGAGGGAGATGCAGAAATGAGGGAAGGGGCTGACCTATGGGTTCTTCCATCTGCACTGCAGGCATTTGAAGTGGAGTCCAGCACCAAAGCCAAGGATTTCTGCCAGAACATTTCCAACCGCCTGCTGCTGAAGTCCTCGGAGGGCTTCAGCCTCTTTGTCAAAATCTCTGACAAGGTGAGCGTCCCGTGGAGGTAATGGGACAGCTCCAGACGCTTGCCCGGCCACCTCTCCAGAGGGTGTAAATCGGGGGGGGACGGAGTGGGGGGGACACTAAAACCAGTGGATTGGCACCAAGTTACACCACTCCCAAGGGGTGCTGAACGCCTCCATGGGCCTGACCCCATTCAGGTTTCGGTTAATAGGTGCAGTCCAGCAGCCCTGTACAAGCCAAAAGGGTTACTAATAGCTATATGGACAGCTCTTGTCAACCACAGAACTGGGCCTTAAGGCAGGGGTTATTGCCAATAGCATAACTGTGCAGATGGGGCTCTCCGGCATTGGCCTAGCTTCATTCCCAAGGAACCTGATCCCAGTGGAAGTCAGTGGGACTGCAGCCGGCCAGGGTTGGACACTATGGCACATCCCATCCAACATCCCGACCCGATCCTGCCATCTCACCTGAGCTTTGTGGCAGTCCTGGCCTGGGTCAGGGTTACAGGGCCGAGCCATTAATCTGTGCGGCATCTTGCCTGCTAATTGTTTCTGATTGCTTTGCTGGCGTCAGCAGTACACAGGGCAGAGGGTCCGTTCCAGAGTGCCAAGAAGAGGGCCATAATGTATGGTGCGATGAATAAATTAAAGCAGATCTTTATGAGAGCTGGAAAGAACAATGGGATTGTCAGCTGCCCAAGCAAAGCTTCCCAGCCCCTGTCATCCTATCTGCAAGATTGTATTTCCTTCTGGGCTAGAAGCACAGTCCGAGGTGATCAATCGAATAGCCAGGCCAGTGCAGAAACCAGTTTATGAGGGATTGAATGAGCACCGGGTGTCCCAGAAGCTAGTGACCGACGAATTACAGAGAGCGTCATCATGAAGAGAGATGAGTGGTTTAAAGTTGAGCAAGAGGAGAAATGATGCACAACATCAGGCAAAGGGTGCTGTTGAAACAGCAACGAGCAGATCTGTGGATTCCTTAGATCTTAAAAACCAGCTTGGGTAAAATATACGAGAAGGAGGGAGGGATTCAGCCGGCCTGTGACTGCATCAAAAGAGACGCCAACATAAAAGAAAGTCTCTGATCCTGTTTCAGTCATGGTTTAATTCAAACGCTGCTGATTTCCTGCGTCTGCAAGCAGGGCGGGTAGCGAATGTTTACCTGGTTCTGCTAACAATGCGGATGTATTTTCATA